ATCAAGCATGGTGGTGTTTGCTTATAATTCCAGCACAGGGGAGACATGGATGGATTCCCCAGGATTAACTCACCGTTAGTCTTCGAGCTCCAGACCACGGGGAGGCTGTGTCTCTAAAAAGAAGTTGACATGTATGATACCCAAGGAATGACACATACAGTCCCTACGCCCGTGTGTAGCCCCACACTCATATGCACATACTGAAAGAAAAGACAGTGTCATTTGAGCCTGCCTGGGTTGTCTTTACTGTACCCAACCCGGCCGGTCAAACACTTGAGTCGTCCACAGGGTGTATAAAAATCATTTGTACCCAATGTGAGGACTTGCCTTGCAAATGCAGGAATCTACTTACTCTACGAAAGTTCTAGTATGTCCCAGAAGGGCTTCAGAGGAAGCCTCAAAGTCACTTCTTCATAAATTGCAAACAGAGGCACCTTGAGAATGCCTCCAAGACAGAAAGCCACCTCCTCCACTTGTCTTCCCTAAGCCACCAGGCAGGAGAAAATCAACTTGGATCTGAAAGGCAAGTAGACCTTGAATGTGAATTCTCTGCTAGGCAGTTTCAAGAAATAGACCTCACACATCATCATTGGTTCCGAGTCCCCCAGATCTCCTGGAGTGACAGCAATCAAAATTGATTTGGGGAATTTCACTCACAAATTAAATTTATCAGTCCCCAGTATGGATGCTCGGTGACTTTGGCTGCACAGTGAGGAGGAGATGGGAGGGTTTGAGGCATGACACAGAAAAACCAAAACAAAGAGGCATTTATTTGATCATCGGGCACGAGAGAATAGCTTAAAGCAGGGGCTGCAGATGCTCTTCAGCCGTGAGCCAGACAGGGTGGGGCTGCTCTGGGGTTTGGCAGTGCCATTTCTAGGGAGGCTCCTGCCTTGCAAGTTTGCAGACTTTCTGCATGCTTCCATGTCCTTTCAGGTGCTGGATGCTCATGCCAGCGTATGGGTTTTCCTAGGAAGCCATGCTGCCCAAGATGTTTCAAGAGAACTTTTGCTGAATGCTGTGGGTTCCACTCAGAGTTTTCGTCAAGAGAAAACCTCCTTGGGTCCACCCTTCAGCTACTCTGTGCTGACTACATGTGGCCTCTGCACAAGCCTGTTCCCTGCCCTTTGGCAGATGCTGCTGCTTTGGGTGGCAGGAGGGATTCCCTGTAGAGATGTGTACAGAGCTGGTGGCTGGGCTCCGTGAGTAGTGCTGGGATCTGGTTTTGCCCAGAAGCCACCCCCCACATCCACTTTTCCAGACCATCTTCTTGTTCAGCCCACCCCTTTCATAACACGTGTGAATGTTGGATGTAAAAAGCAAAATGTAGTTTTTCTAAAAGCTAAGCTTCATTGTATACAGTCCTGTGTCCCTAATAAGTCTGCATTTGGCATTAGGCATATGTATGTCTGTCCTTCTGGTGCCTCGAAAGCAGGTGGGTCATAGGCCACACTCTGATAACAAACTCTGGTGGACAAGGCAATGCAAATACTAAGGGGACTAGGTACATTTAGCTAATATGAAAATTCATTGACTTGCTCTTTCCCTCACCCCATTTTTTTTGCTAACCACTGGCTGAAATGCAGATGTGGTGGCTGAGTCTAGACCAATCAGGACCCAGCAATGGAAAACATGGTTGTACTTTGTGTTCTTTCTGGAATGTTAGGTGAGCTTATATGATTTCAGACCTACACATTCACACACACCACACAGAGGAGAGGCAGGGAGAGAGAAGGGGGCGGGGACATAGCTTGGAAAATGGTAAAAAGTAATGTCACATAGCTCCACTGAGTAAAAATTTGAAAACTCAGGATAGTTTCTCCCTGTCATCTTGCTCACTTATTTTTAAGTTCATCTTAGCAAGTTCTCTTGAGGGCCGGAACTGTATAATATATTTCTTTGGGTTCTGCAAGTACTAAGACACAGTGCATGATCAATAAATGTAATTCCATGAGAAGCAACAGAGCATGAGCCACTTAGGAATGTGGCTTTGGAGACAGTAGCCAGAGCTGGTAGCTATTTGCTGTCTGGTACTGTGTGACTTTGGATAATCTGTGCTTTTGTTTCTTTTTGGGTACACTTGGGATAGCAATAACAGAAGACTGAACAAATGCATTCACCAGTGTAAAATGCATCAAGTGTCTGTGTATGGTAAGCATGAGAGACCTGCCATTGCTGTTCTGACAGTGATAACCAAACTCTATGATAGGACCCGAAGATACTATACCAACCCTGAACATCCCTTTGGTGTCTGTGGACACAGACAGTGCATTGTTTATTCTAAAGCAGAAGCAGTAATCCAACTGTTCTAGAGGATATTTCATCTGCTGGACATTGCGTATTTCCCAAAGCAACATATTTACAAGGCAGCGGGCTGTTGAAAAGTCTAACGTGGAAGAAAAGCAAATTCCTTCGAACAGGCGTTTGTTTGAAGGTCTCCATTCTTCAAGGTAGAAGGTGACAGTGGGGCCTTTTTATTATTCTTCACTGAATGTTAATACACATCTATAGGGCAATTTATTTATGCTGGGTTTTTTTTTCCTCCCTGAGAGTTTCTCTGTGTAGTCCTGGCTGTCCTGGAACTCACTGATGAGTAGATCAGACTGGCCTCAAACTCGGAGACCCATCTCCCTCTGCCTCCCGAGTGCTGGGATTAAAGGCGTGAGCTACCACCACCTGACCCATGGACAATTTATTATTAATTTTTTCTTCATTCTTCATAGTTCTTCCTACCTCCAATAGGAAGGCGTCTCCAGTCTGGCTCCGAGAAGCTTTCTCCTTTCGCACTTTGGACCCAATCATGGTTCTCAGAAGAGCCCAGCCTTCTACATGGACAGGGCCTGCAGCCGGGGCCTGAGCTGTGACTGTGGGTCACAGGGGTCGTCAGGAAACTGCAGCTTTCATTTTGATACTCTTTCAACCTTGCTGTATGTTTGAAAATTCACAATAAAAAGCCAGAGGGGAAGGAGGTGCTCAGGGACAGTACAAGGGGAATAGGGCCTATAACTTCTTTGGTTGGATTTTAAGGAACTAATATTCTTCAAAATGCAGAAATTAGGAAGTCCATGCCAAATGGCAGCACAAGAAAATCAAACTATTGCGGATGCAGCTGTTCCTAAGGCTCCAATTCCTGTAGATAGACAAGACACAGGTTTCACAGTTGCAGACAGGCTCTCCATCACCCACATAAGGGGCTAGAGGTACAGCATCGCTGTTCTCCACCATCCACATCAGGGGCTAGAGGTACATCATCACTGTTCTCCATCACCCACATACGGTACAGGGTCACTTCTTAGCAACTAAAAGGCATGTATCTTCTTCCTTTGATGCCAGGTCCCTTTTGGCAGTCTACTTCATTGTGGAATGTTCCAGTACTTAGGTTAACTTGTATTTGCCCTTAGCAATATTAACTATTACCAAAACTATGAAGAAGCTTACCAAAAAAAGGAGGCAATTATGTTCCACATCAGAGTTTTTATTCCTACTGGGCAATAATTGGACTTTCAATGTCGCCAATAGATTTTCACTTCTACCCACTGGCTTAACTTCTTAACATCTGTCATCTACTTTGAAGAACAGATGTTAAGAAACTAAAAATATTTTAAAAGGGAACATTCTGAAAACTGGAGAACCTCACAACAACAAAAACCATTCAAAGAAAAAAAACCCATTTCGTCAGTTCTATATCTGGGTATGTATCCATATCCACAAAATTGAGAACCTTTCTAAGAACTATCTCCCCAATTAAAAGCAGCATCGTTAACACCAGCCAAGAAGTAGAAGAAGCCCACATGTCCACTGATGGACGAGTCAACAATGTGGTAAGTCTATATGATGGGATGGAGAGCAGTCTTAAAAAGCAGGGAACTCTGGCACATGCTTCACCATGGATGAACCTGGAGGACCTATGCTAAGAGAAATAGGCCAGTTGCAAGCAGACAGATAATCTAACGGATTCACTTAGAGGAAGCCTTCATCCAAAGCAACTAATTTGTAACAATAGAGAGTAGACAGGTATCAACCAGGCACTGTGGGGGAAGTTGTTCCATTCTGCAAGCTGAGAAATTTCTGGTGATCTGCTGTACAATAATGTTAATATACTGTACTAAACTATATTCTTAGCAGTGCATTTTGTGGTATTTTGAAGTGTACACATACACACACTACATTTTTCACCTTTCTGTACACAGATCTTTGATAGAGGTAGTGTAGTACAGATACCTATAGTGAATGTACAGAATTTGCCCCTTATAATGGAATTTCCTTTATAACCACATACACTCACAAGCCTTACAACCTTAGCATTTATTAAACATACAAAGTACTTAGCATCCTAAATTAGCCAGGGAGAGATGATGAACTTTACAGACTGAAAACAATTCAGCTATTGTCTCATTTTTATCTTTGAGATCATCTGATTTATATATATCTTCTATAGCAAGCAGACAGCAAGCTCTGGGCTCCAGTTTTGTTCATCATTGTATCAATCCCTAGGGTCTAGGAAAGTGCCTGGAATACAGTGCGTAAGTATCTAGTGGATGAATATAACTGTTATTAAACACTCAGATGCAGCAACATCAGGCTGATAATCACCCAACTCAAGTGGAACAAGAGACACACCATAAAGGAGGCAGAATCAACTTTCAAAAAACTAATTTTAATCAAAACAAAAATTGTTGATCATTAACAAGTTTATAAAACAGTGATTTAGTTACATAAATAAATTGATATCAGTGTATCAAATCTTAATTACTTTCAACTTCATGAGCATGTTTACATGAGTGACGAAGTACAACCTTTTTTTTTCTTTTTATCTATTATAATAAATAAAATGGAGCGCATGAAATAGTTTTTCTAAACAAAAATACCTACAAACATACCTCTAGCATGTCCTCTAGTGAAGGGAACAAGAGACACGGGACGACTTTTGCACCAGAACATAAGGTTGCTTTCAGAAGCACAAGGTTACAGGACCATCAGCTAAAGGAAAGACACTACACTGTAACCAAGGTTGGTATTTTAATATAATCAACAGTTTGGTAGTTACATCTCCAGTTTGGTTATTTTAAAGCATTAAGACAAGGCAAGATAGAAGGCTGCTTTTGTTTGAGTAATTCTAGAGAAAATAAAATATATTAAAAAAAAAAAAAAAGAACTGAAAAGTAGAACAGTCATACCTACACAACTTTCTGTCCTGCACAAAGTCAAAATACCTATGCAGAATAGATATATAATATATATAATGTTATCTGTGCACAAACGTTAGCTTATTAGCTCACTGCAAAGGCGTAATGGATCATGTCAATTGTTTTGGAAAACATTTTGCGTTTTTGTGTCAAAAGGATATTTTAAGTTTCCTAGGCTAGGAGGCACGCACCCCAGTTCTGGCATACTGTATATTCTTAATGCTAAGGCTTGCTGCTCTGGCTGTGTATTGTCCCTCTTTATTCGAGTGCCTGTTACAAGCATGTGTGGTGTAGTGGTTGTTGGTGTCTGTGTGTCTACATATATATATGTATACAGAAGCTGTATAGATATATATAGGTATGGAATCTTCCCAATAGAGCTCAGTCCAACTGCGCAGTCCGAAGGTGGCTCTGCAGATGCCCAGCACGAAGTTCACTGCCTGAGCCAACCCCGAAGCGAGGCGTACTTTTAGTCCTTCTGATAGGTTTTCTCTCCATTTTTTGTTTTTGTTTAAAACCAAGCTACTGCAGCTTCAAGTATTTTGCATTACATAGAATATTTTTTTATAAATTAGTTAATGTTATATTTTCAATATTCAGACATATACTATAATATATATACAGTACAATAAATGCTCTCATTCTTTTTTTTTAAGTTTTTGGATAAATCCCTGAGAATGTATGTTGACAGTCGCTAAGTCTCCACATGCACAAGCATCGTGTGCCATGCTTCTGGACGAACAGCACTGCAAAGCCACGTGGGTCAGCCTTTTTACTATAGTATTTCGTTTTGTTGGTTTGTTAACTATGCTGAAAATGTGAAGATGAGTTACAAAGGAGTAAAGCTGAATCCATTCGAGGTACTTATCACAGGATGGAGGTGTTCTGTTTGGTTTTTAAAGCCATTTCAATTTTTTTTTTTTTTGAGGCTGTGAACGTATACAGAAAACAGGAGAGCTATGTGGACTTTTGCCACTTGACAACATATACTCAGTGTAAACCAAACCTTTTCAACCTCTCTCACACAAACCAGTAAAACAGAATTAAAAACAAAAGGAAAGAAAAAGGGAGAAACTTAAAAACACACACAAACTTTCACAACATGACACTTTAGTCTGCAAACGCAATATAACTATACACATATAATACCGGTGTGGCTCTGTTCTTTAAGTTAAAAAGGGTACAAAGGCAGGCTCAAGTAAAAACAAACCACCCCTCCCACCCCACCCCCACCCCATTCATACAAGTTCTATCAACCAAACCTCTCCCGAACCAACATCATCAGTTTCTTTTTGCCTTTGTAGATTTGTTTCAGGTTGTCAATAAACTGTGTAAACTGAATGTGTCCATCGTGTGCCATTAGGAAGGTCTCTCGGGCCTTGCTGAGGAACTCTATGAACTCACTATAGTGCCGAGGACTGATGTGTGTGAGTCGTGAGTGCGTTGTGTTGATATAGGCCCCGATCGTGGCATCCAGGAGTTGCCTCAAAGGGGCTTTGTCCAGTGACATGAGCTTACCAGAGTTCCTCCTTCCATGAAGTCCCACCATGCCAGGGGTGGTCAGAGTGCACCTGCGCAAAATGTCCGACAGTACTGTTGCGCACTTGACACTCTTGACCACCAGAGGTATTATAGCTGCAAGCTCGTTTTTACCTAGGGAGTGACTAAGTGCACAGGCCCACAGGACGTCATTAATGGCAGGGTGTGTGTCCTGATTGTAGCTCAGGTTGAGATGGGTCATGGCCAGCGTAGCCAGCTTGTAGGCCCTCATAGGGTACCCCCGGTGCTCCATGTACCGCGCAATTGTAAAGAGCTGCGTGTAGCTCATGCCGGTGGTAGCAGCATCGAGGACAATTTGGTACGCCGTCTCAAAAGCTATGTGATCCTTTTCACAGAGGGTCAGTGCAGAGAGGGCGCAGTTCTGCGGGTCCTTCATGGCGCACTGCAATGCCAGGGTCCGGGCACTGCTGGCCAGCTTTTCCTGCTGGTGGCAGTCCAAGTGGAGGCGGACTATGGTGCTGTTGGACATGACGGTAGTCGCAACAATACTTGTGGCCTCAGTGGGAGTAAAGAGGGTAAACCAGCTCTGCATGATGCTGTCCAGGGCATAAACACCTGCAAGAAACAAACAAGCCCCATCACCACCAACAGGAAGGCTGGAGACAGGTTCTACGGGCACTTTTAGAACTGATGCTCACACTGTTAACCAGCATGGAACAGGAACTAGACCAGAAACCCTGAAGGTAATGTGCCTGGGAGCAGCCTTTAAGAGTAGGGTCATCACATGCATTGTTATTCTGTGGAGTGCCCGACAGGAACATGAACTTCCTATAATAAAGACACAATCCTCTCGGTGGCTGGTATTTGCACTGCACTGCTTGCCATTTCAGACACTGGTTTTTTACTAATGGGTACTCGCTCACTGGGGCCTCTCGTCAGTTATACACTACAGAATTGGAGGGGAAAAGAAAACAGGTAACCTTCACCCAAATAGGGACTGTGTGTGTGTGTGTGTGTGTGTGTGTGTGTGTGTGTGATGTGTTTAAGTTAAAAAAAAACATACAATACAAAACCTTAAAATCCACAATCAAGAAAATATCACCCACAGTCAAGAGAGAGAGTGTGAGTACAAGTGGACCAGCAGATGACACAGACGCTGGAAACGGCCTGTACAGCCTTTAACCCTTTGTACACAGATCCACCTACCTTGTCACACAGGCAGAGGTTTGGGCAGTCCTAAAAGCCCTATCACCTTTACATTGTCTCAGCAACAGAGCGCTGTATTAATCCAAAAATAAGTTTTATGCAAGATCAAATTCATGATTGCCAAAATAACTATGTTACACACGAGTGAAAGAGTAATGAGAATATTTTACAGTATCTGCTGTCAGTATCTAGACACTCAGGGCAGTGTCTTCCCAGCAAGAGGTGTGCTTCCTTTTGTGATGCAAACAAGAACACAGTTTAACTAGCCACCACTGCTTATGTTGTGCTCTTTCTGGGACAGAGTAGTTTTGTAAATCCTGCAAAGGGGAAACCATAGGCTTAAAGGGTCCTATAAATCACAGCTGATGGACAGCCAGAGGATTCTCTTATGGCCAGCTACAATTTCTCACGCACTTCAAAGTTCATCCAAATCACACAAAGTGATCATCCTCTCCCTGCTACTCAGAAGAAAGACCTCAGCGGAATAAGGTGGCCATTGGAACTGAGTAAAATGTGCTTGTTCACTGGTTCACTCCATTTAAAGCAAGAGACTGGAGCTGCCTGCCCACTGTGATGGTTGAGAAGCAGTGTGTAAGTCAAGGATGGGGTCTGGAGCAGAGAAGGGAACCCCTGGTGTGCGCTAGAGCGGGGCAGGGCCTTGGGGAAGTCAAGGTAGCCACAAATGGTTTCTCCTAACATGAGATGAAATCCTACCATGAGTACCCACCAGGCTTCTCCTCCAAAAGTTACCTACCAACTTCAGTAGCACATGTCACCAGCCACCGCACCATTTCTCGCCGTCGCCAATTGAGGGTTGACAGCGTCATTCGCATAACCTGTAAAAGTGGGGTAACAAAATGTTTTGAAGATAATTTTATGTCAATGGGGAAAAAAATCCGATTTATCCCACAGTTTAAAATACTAGGCAGACTAACTCCCAGGGGACCAGAAAGCATTTTTATTAGAGTAAAGATCTACATGTCTGTTTGGAGCTGTCCTTGCCCTGGCCTGAGAGGTAAGAAACCCACCCAGTACTTCTGATACTAGCCAGATGTGAAACCCTGGGAAAGTCATTCAATGCCTTTTCTTTCTGAGTCAAAGGATGGGGTTAAAAAATTCAATAGAGTCTGGGCCCTCTTCTGCTGGCCAGCTTTCGTATTCTAGGACTTTTGATTTCTGAGGTTTCTTATGAGGGGGGAAAAAGACATGTTATGGGTACGATGTACTTTAGAACAGTAACTCTGGTTATTCCTTCGATCTCTGATCATGACGGTAACCTGAGATCTATGGAAAGAAACCATCTTTGACATCACTGCTGATTTCTGCTCCCTCCTACATTCTAGTAAGAATTTCTAAGATCACCTTTATGCACCTCTTCATGTTTATAAAAATATCTAGTATCCTAACACCGTGAGGCCTTAGAAAGGGCCTGCAGGATTCTTCTTAGGTTCTGAAAGAATGGAGTACGGGGTGAGCTGTCACTGATCTGCCATTTACCCAGAATTCCAAACACACAGAGAAACCACATTAATGTTTCTTTCTGCATCACTCTGAAAGATAAGGCAATCTGTAATAAAAGTAAGCCAAATAAGAATGTATGTTTAAGAAAATAAACTCTAAACCACACTTAAAAGCAACCCTTGTGTCTTTGCTTATCCAGTACCTCATGTTACAGTGGTAATGGCATTTCCCACTGCATTAAACATTACTAATACATCAGTGAAAGGAAGAATCAATAACTTAGAAAACAAATCAATAATCTAATCAGGGCCTTCTAATTCCCATGCTTTAGGGAGGGTGTAACTACTTTTTAATGAGAGAGAACATAAATGTTAGCACAGGTCTCAGGAAGGAAGTGGAAGCAGGCTGTGGTTCCTGGTTTGTACAGTAGTAACCTGGGCAGGAACTGTCAGGAAGCAAATGTCACCTGTGCGATGGGCTCCACGTGTCCCTGATGCTGCTGTGTTCTGCTGCACTCTGAAACTGGAACCAGGCTGACTGCCCCGCCTTTACCCAGTTTCCTCAGTGTTAGAAAAAGGAGACACAACTGCCCAATGCAAACACCAACAAAAACTCATACTGCCTCTGAGAAGCCAGCCCTTACACCTGGATCTTTATTGCACGTGCTAGCTTTACTCAACTCTCTGGTCAGCAGTATTTCTCCATTCATTCACAAGAGAAACAGGAATGTTAAGGCTATAATTCAGAAAAAAATGCTTTTAAAGTGGAGGGACACAAACAAGGATTCTAACTGTGCGGTTGCCATAGCCTAGACTAAAATCTGGCTGAGCTGGAAGTTAGCAGAGCTCTGAAAGACAGTGCTGTCCAAAAGTCCATCACATTTGGGCTCTAGAGAGTCACTGAAAACCGAAAATGAACACAACCCTTCGAGGGCCGTAAGCAGTGGTCTTTGGTGCCCCAAGAAGGACCAGTACCTGCAGGCCCAGCTCCAGAGACACTTTCAAAAGAGTGATGTCTGGCAAACTGTCCATGAGAGTTGCTATTTTAAATGCATCCTGGGCAAGCTTAAAGATGTGTGATGAGGAGTGAATGTTTTTCTGGATGGATTCTAATACTGTTTCCAGCCTCCGGACATCGCCTGCAACGAACAAGGGAAAAGCAAATCAAACCGAGTCGAAGGTAAGGATCAACAGAGAACGGCCACGCGTCCACACACAGAGAGACATACACAGAGGACAGAGGACAGAGGACACAGAACCAAAGGCACACGCTAGTTTACCTGGGGTGCTCACAGCTGCCACAGATGTTATGACTAAGAGTCTCACAGTCACTGCACAGTCTATAAATAATCTCAGCGCCACATAAATACGGGCTGAGACACACCCTCAGTGACTAAAGGCAGATATAAACCAGAACCAACCAGCACAGGGGTGGGAGGGACGCGAACCGACAAATGCTTCTCCTAGCTTCTGCTTATGTATTGTAGTGAAGACTTGACGGACAACAAAACCAGCCAAATCTTTTGTTCTCTTCCTAAATCTCAATGATTTCATGTTTTTGGCTGGGGGATGGTGTTGCATGGTCGGTAACATGACACACAATGCCAGGCTCAAATGAGTGGCACCCACTGGCCTCCAGAGTCAAGTAGGAAGTCATTATCTCTAAAAAGATTCTTTGGGACTTATCTGACAGTAATCCCATTGTGGAGAACTGGATTTAAAAACAATTAAAAGAAAGGTTTCCTGGGTAAAGATAGGACAGTGCAAACCAATGAAACAATGAGGTTTTCAGACACCACACACACTACCTTTGGCCGCAGTGAGCATGGTGGATGCCAGCTCACACTGCTGGGATTCAATGTGGCTTAAGGTGAACCACCGAGGGTATCGGTTGGGGACAACTGATGCAATGTGGTGGGGGCGGGTGAGGTCTCCTGTCGGAGCAGTAGATTCCAATACTAGTAACCTGTAGTGAGAAGGAAAGGAAGGGTCATTCAGTGTTACGTGTCCAATACCCTGGCCATGATGACCAGCCAGAAGCCAGAGTCCTGGACAGACACTTAGAGAGATGGATGCTGGTCTAGGCATGAGTTTAGGGGAACTATACAGCTCACCTTGCTGATGGCTCCCTGCTCAAACCTAATGATTTCCTTTCATCCCTTAGCACCACTAAGAATACTGTGTGACATTCATGGAAATTCAGACACACAAGAAATATGAAACATGAGACTTGATCTCCACGTATTACTTTTTTTTTAATATTTTCATTAAAAACAAACAAACAAAACAAACACAATAACAACAAAACAAACCAGGCAGTGGCGGCACACACCTTTAATCCCAGCATTCAGGGAGGCAAAGGCAGGTACATCTCTGTGAGTTCAAGGCCAGCCTGGTCTACAAAGTGAGTTCGAGGACAGCCAGGGATACATAGAGAAACCCTGACTTGAATTTATAATTTCTGATTTCAATCGATGTTGACAATAAACAAGTGTTGAAAACAAAGCATGTTAGTGATTTCTCCTATAACTGGAATAATGAATACCGTAAGAATCATCAGCCCACTGGCTTCATCAGCCCACTGGTATCAGTGACTATGAAATCAGAGCTGGAGACCCCCAAGATGGAGAGCTGGAGAATGATGCCAGCCCCAGGTCTGTTCAGGCAGGCCAAACGGACCACTCGCTCTGTTTTTATCCAGTCAAAGAGATGTTAGCATTACGAAATGTGGCAAGGTAGAGGACGAAAGAGTAAGAATTCTGGCCGAGTTGTTTTTATTCAGCGTTTTACAGAATTCAGGAATGCCTGTCTCCCTAGCCGGATTCTTGCCAGAGCTGCTACAGAGGCAGGTCATCAACAGTCCTGGGAAGACGAGAAAGTGAGGGGGAAGCTGCCCTTCTTTGGCCTCTCTCTCTCTCTCAGGACTAAGAAGCAAGCACGAAAGCCACATCTCTCTCTTTCCTCCCTAGTCCCTGGCTCCCCTGAAGTGCTCTGGTGCCTTCCCCATGCCCCATCCACAGAAGGCCTCTGGGCAAGATACGAGGAGCAAGCAGGAGAGAGTGGAGGAGAAGGCAGCCCCTGTGCCCTGCCACCACCCCCTTGCTTGTGTTCCCGGCATTCATCAGGACAGTAGATTCTGTCACATAAGCCCAAACTACACAGGAATATGACACTAGTTTACCCTTCATGGTGGTAGTAGCAACAGTACCTGACGGTATCATCACATTAACATTCTCCCCCTTAAAGAAGAGTGGAATTCTTAGGATTAGAATAAGTATACAGGTGACTCTGTCCCCAGAAGACTTCTATTCTACTTTCTAAAAATGGGACTTTACACCTACTTATGAAAATGTGCTCTAAAATATAAAACAAGTGGAATTAAACAATTTTATGGGGAAAATTGTTGCTCATGTTAGTTACTGACTTAGATTTTTTGCCAATTTAAAGACCAACCAAGTACTAGAATGTTCCTCTAATAAATGACTGATGTCTCCAGTGGTCTAGAAATGCATGTGAAATTACACGTCAAGCCTGAAACAGTGACACAGGTGTACACACACACACACACACACACACACACACACACACACACGACCCTAACCCTGCACAAACAGAATGGCACAATTGATTAGCACGTGGTACTTACACAAGTGTGAGACAGACAGATGTGAGATGTGAGAGTAACTTTGAAGATGCTGGTGATTCTTAGGAAGGATTCATGTGTCAATCTTATATCGATTACAGATAAGGATGAAGGTTCTTCTTATGGGATCAAACCTACTCAAGCTTTTAGATCTAAACAGGGCTTGTCTTTAGTCTAGCATTATAATATATAATCTAAACTTTCCATTAAAAACTTAAAAGTGATTTATTCATTTAAAAACACAAAAGGGAAAAGACTAAAGCTTTCAGAATAGCAGCTGTTCCCTTCAGGCTCTTCAAGTTGAACAGGTTAGACACAAGATTTAAAAATAGGCTCTTAAGAGCACATCAAAAAGTATCAACCTTGAGCAAATTCATGATAAAAAGCCATTATTTGGTGAATTAATTTTTCAAAGGGAAGTGAGAATAAGCCAGTGAGCTTTTTTTCATTGCCATGACCAAAAATCCTGAGGAGGGGATGGAAGCCGTGGAGCTGAAGTGGCCAGATCCTGAGAGATGCCTAACCAAGATTCCTTTACCGCCAGACACATCCCATCTGGCCTCCAGCTGTGCACTGATGTGTCCTGCTGGTGCAGGGCTTTCCTGTACTGGTGCCTCGATGTGGGCTCACAAGTGTGAAAGTGTTCCTCAGTTACCACACTCACTCTTGGATATTTGTTGTTTATCATGTGTTTAAATTCTTTTTTAAAACAGCTGATCATTCAGGAAGCATTAAACTGGTATCCTGTGATTAAACTGTTCTGAAGCTGTATTGTATTCCCAAATTCTACCATGAAGAGAAAAGGCTATGATGGCCATAGTCTAACATCAGTTAAGAAAATGAGCCCTGCCACTCCCTTACTTTAAAGCAAAATCAAATCACAACAAACAGATTGCCTCACAACTATTCAGGAAGCAAATAAGCCGATTCTCTAGCTTCTCTGTGGCCTCTAAGAAACATGACTGGCTATGAGGTCAGCTAATGGCCCATTTCTCCCATGGGGACTGCGGCCTGTCTCTGCGTGCCTGGGCTCTGGATACATACCGCATTGCTCTCAGTGCAATTTTGTATGCCAGTTCAGCATCGTGAGGTAGGAGAGAGGTGAAGAGATACTTGGCAAATGTGTGCATTGGAACACTCTCCCGATGGATGATTTCACCTAAACCACTGTATGGTCCAGCTGTGGAAGAAAACACACACAGTTTACATTCCCAAAGAACAAGCTAACACTTCTTATTAACTGTATTTCATACTCTTTATGTAAACTTATACCTAATTTAAACTGTATTTCAAATTCCTTATGTAAATTTATAGCTCATCAAGTTAAGAATTTGAACTAAGTAATAGTAGAAAGAAATTCTTAGTCAAAAGGCTCTTAAGGGCACAGTACCCAATATAGGCTTCACATCATGCACAGTTTCCCAAGTGTCCCATTGCTAAAATAGGAACCACGAAACTAAGAGGCAGAGGCCACACACAGCACAAGGACCTATGATAAAGAGGCCCTCTGAAGCACAAATCCTTGCAGAACTTGAGAAAGTTCTTTCTTGGTACATGTTAACGGAGGATCCAGATACAGAAATGCTTAGCTAAGGAACCTGTGTCTTGACCCATACGGTTTAGGGCCAAGACATGGCAGGTCCAGAAAAGAGCTCAGTCTTACATATGGGAGGACACTGGGCCCTCAGAACACACTCAGTACACTACGCTTCTAATAAGCAGGAACAGTAATTTCCACAAAGTGATTAATAAGAAGTTACCCATTTGGTATTCACTGTAAGCAAAAGAAAAACATTAAAATAATGGAACTGTACTCTTCTGGCTCCAGCAGGCCAATTTTGAAAGCGAAATCACATTTAAGCTGTCAAAACTCATTTCTTAGTGAATTCTGACAGGTGCGGTGGCAGCTCTGGTCCCCTGGGTGCTACCCAAATGCTTCTCTCAGAGGAAGTACAGACTTCAGCTTTGAAAGGAAACCACAGTGGTTAGTTCTAACCCTCGCACTGAGGTGTCCTGAGGTTTAGTTCCTGTAAAGTGTTTAATAAATTAGTTTCACGTCACCTTTGGGTAACATTCGTCTCATGGTTTCTAGAATTATGAGCCATGACACTGCTGCTCAGGGGACAAAAAACATTTGTTTTCCATGAGAAAAACCAGTCTGGGAAAGAATCCAGAGTGCAAGAAATGCAGAGCAGGAAAAATGGTGAGACAAGTCTACCAGACTCGGGTTTGGGCAGGAGCAAGAGACATTCTAGAGTGCTCCAGAAGTCATTTTGTAATTCAGTTCCCAGGTTAGTGTTTTTAAGTTATTCACTATTTAAATATTTTGAAACTCAAACACAACTCATTTTAACCTTAACTATAATCCATGACACATTTCTAATTTTGCCAAATCTACCAATCTTTGTAAGACATTTCAAAATGTTTAGTAATACAGTATTTGTGAAAAGTAGATATTGTTATATGTGTACCCTTTGTTCAAAAAGCAAAGTTACATTACTGAAGTTACTGTGATGAACTAAATGTGTATGAATCTCCAAACTCATATAGTAAAATTCCTACCCCAATGTGAACATATCTGAAGAACAGACTCTATGAAAGTAATTACATCTAAATGAGGTCCTCGAGGCAGGGCACTGAACTAACAATAACAGGATTAATGTCCATTTGCCCAGCTATGAACTCTGTGAGCTACAATAATGACTGGCCTGGCAGAATATGCCCACTCACTAGGGCAATAGCGGTTCAAGCGTCACGGGAGTACACAACCGCTTTTGACTGGATTTAAGGCCCACTCCACAAGCTAAAACCCAAGCCTGGGTCTGAGAACCTGTGCCTAAACAAGTTACAGGCCTCAGGGGAGAACCTACTACTATGACTCTGCTAAAGCAGCCTAATATTCATTGACTCCTAATGACTTATCATTACAGCCACAGAGGAGTGTATCTTTCAGCCCGCATCACAGAAGCTTCTTTTTGAAGTAGATGGCAATTAACAGAGAATGCAGAGAACAAAGGACTGAAATGATCAGCCCTAAATGGGACATTATATCACAGCCCTTCCTCCCTAGGATTAGAACCACTGTGGAAGAGGGGGCAGAAGGACTAGAGCCAGGGCAGTGACGACCAGAGGACTAGCTTCCTGGACACAGCAGTGCACTTGTCCTGACTCACAGCAGCGGTGACAGCATGGCAAGAACTCAGTAGGCTCTCGTCAGACACAACACCAGCACAGAGAAGGGAGGAGAGCAGCATACAGTAGTCCCAGCCCTAGCTAAGAAGCTACTGACAACTGGTAGCTGCTGGGAGAGAGAGAGGTTATGGCCCCCGGTAGGCTTCCCTGCTCGGTGGAAGGCCACAGATCCCAGAGTACATAGGAGCAGCACAAACTAGACCTGCTTTTTTTTTTTTTTTTTTTTATATAAGAGTACACAAAGTATTGGGTATGTAGGGAAGGGGGGCAGGGACCTAGGATGGGTTGGAGGAGGAGAGTGAAGAGGATTCAAAATTCCCAAAGAGCAGGGTGGCAGTGGCACACTCCTTTAATCCCAGCACTCGGGAGGCAAAGCCAGGTAGATCCAGGGCAGGCACCAAAAGTACACAGAGAAACCCCTGTCTCAAAAAACCGAAACCAACCAAACAAACAAACAAAATTCCCAAGGAACTCATTTTTGTAAGGAGGGAGAAAAAAAAGAAGGCCAAATAGCTTGTTCTGTCTCTGTAAAGTGAGGACAGACAGAGGTCTTCACACAGAAACACAGCCCTCTTGAGAAGCAGGACTGGTCAACACTTTGGTCTTGGATTCCAGTCTCTTTGAATTCCCAAAACACTGTTAGAAATAAAAACCTACTGCCTACATCACCTGTTTATCCCATGCTGATACAACACTAGGTGACTGAAACCTCCAGGCCCATTATACTTCAGAACAAATTATAGCAATCTATATTGCAGACTACCCATATTCTTCACTCTGTCTCCATTGCCTTTTAGAGGTTCCCTTTAAACAACTAAGTTACCTTTTTATTATTCAGAGAAAGCCAGAATACATATTCAACAAGTAAAGCACTAAGTTAGGTATTACAGAATTACTTTTAGATTAATAATAGCTATAATCCCTGAATTCAAGTGTACTAAATAACAAAACCCTGACATCTGGCATGAAGTTTCCCCATAGGTACTTCTCTAATGTGTGACTGAGCCACCAGTACCATGGCCAGGAGAGAGTCACACACACTCAGCAACAATATACTCACTGCTCCCTCTTCTCAGGTGTCCAATCTGCTAAGAAATTCCTGACCTTCCTAAAGAGTACAAATGTATGGAGGACTCCATGAGCTCATGGAGTCAACTCACTAATGGAGCTTGTTATCTCTGGTATGTACAGAAATGGCCCAGCCTCCTTGTGACTGCTCCAGTCCTGTACCAGCTACTCTTGGGCCCTAGAAGGCCAAGAAAGGGGAGGAGGCAGCAGTAAGTCAGAGCCCTCCCCCTCCCCCCGCATTTAGACAGAGCTCTTATATTAAAAAGTAGTTAAATAATCAACATTGCCGGGCAGTGGTGGCGCACGCCTTTAATCCCAGCACTCGGGAGGCAGAGGCAGGCGGATCTCTGTGAGTTCGAGGCCAGCCTGGACTACCAAGTGAGTTCCAGGAAAAGGCGCAAAGCTACACAGAGAAACCCTGACTCGAAAAACCAAAAAAAAAAAAAAAAAAAAAATCAACATTAGTCTTGAAATAGCCAGGACAGGCCTTTTATCTTTTGTGGTGATATTTTATTTGTGCTCTAACAAATAAAGCTTGCCTGAAAATCAGAAGGAGAAGCTAGCCACAAGTTAACCATAGAGGTATGGAGGTCTGTACAGACAGACAGGAAGAGATGGAGCTGGGCAGAGAGAGGAAGTGATGAAGGGTGGAGAGAGGAGCTCACTCTTTCGGTGTGGATTTCGCCACCGAAATGAGGGGCTTGCTCTCCACCTCTCTCATCTTTCAGCTTTTACCCCAATATGTGGCCCTGGGTTTCTTATTAATAAGACTGTTTAGCAATTCATGTTACAATCTTTATATGTTAATAAGTAAATAATAGTAAGAATGACAAACTACAGGAAAGTACTTCAAAATTTAAAATTGGAATTTTCCCCCCAAGATGAAGAACCATATTAAGGCTAAGTTTAAGAACATTTTCCCTTTTAAAATGTAAAAATTATAATATACTTGAAAAACTATTTTCTCTCAAATAGATCTTTAGCTGTGGACAAATTACAAGGTTTTAAATATTATTTTCTCTAAAGTGTGTAGCTGTCCATGATATAAAATGTCAGCACACTTTACCCAGCAATCACAGAAAAATCCCATCATCACAGCACACATCTCAAAGAGAAGCAATTTCTACCAATAAGTCAATTAACTTTGTATGCACTAAGTTATACTAATTGTACTTACCTTTATGAGAAAATATTATCAATAGTGTCAGCCAAATGTAAGTTTAGGACCTTTAAATTACCCAGACCTTATAAAATCAAGGGGACTCACCTTTGCTTCAGATAGTCTGGGAAGCCTTTCCCTGGGTGACCCTATGCCTAGTGAATCCTGTGACATTATATTAGAGAGCAGTAGAAACCCTCCACCCCCTATAGTCTTCAGTCCTCTGTTGGCCAAGTGCACATGACACTAAGAGGCCAGATGTTGTGTAACAGCTAATGAATCTACAAGAATGCCAGCCAGTTTCCACTTTATTATTTACATGATCAAGCAAATAGGAACATGGGTACCAATAATATCTCATTAAATAGCAACAATTTACCTCAGGAACCACACAGCATGAATAAATAGTCCTTTATTAAGAAAGTGACATTAAATTGGCTGATTTCAAACTAGCTATCCTATATGACAACCTAAATCAAATGATAAAAACCTAGATAAACATCTGGCTCTTAAGTCGGTTGACTGGTCTCTTAGTTGAGCACATTTCGGATGCTGTGTAGTTATATCCAACAGGACACCCACCATACTCAAAGCATCCACAGTGCTCTTAACAGAACAAAGATTAGTACAGAGACCAGGCCCCTTCATCATGGTACCTTCTAAGAGGAAGACTGCTTGCTTGCGGAAAATTTTCACCAGTGTGTCATCCAATTCAATTTCCTGAAGCTTCGAAATGAGCTGCTCTTCATTCCGGCAAACCTTCTCTTGTGTGTACAGCCCATCAGGCATGATCCGCTGCTGCCCAAGTCCGATCAGGGCCACTTCCACAGCCAGCGTTACATAGGACTCCCCTTCTTCTAAGAACTTATGTGCAGGCAGGTGATGGTATTCCAGGGACTTGCACTGGCCCACATTTTCTATAAAATGTCATAAAAATGGACTTAAGTTACAACTGATACAAATTATATGTTCCCATCAGTACCAGTGAATGAACTGACTTAATTCTGAGAAAGCCAGAACATCTAATTTTTACATTAAGATGCATAGCTTTCTAGGCTTCACTCCCCCACCCACATTTTTAGAGACAAAGGTTTCTCTGTGTAGCCCTGGAACTCTCTCTGTAGACCAAGCTGGCCTCGAACTCACAGAGATCTGCCTGCTTCTGCCTCAAGTGCTGGTATTAAAGGTACGTGTTACCACTATCCAGCTAGCATATTTTAAACAGTGACTATGGATAATAAAATACATATGTTTTGTGGGATTACTAATCTTTTTTTGTCATTAAAATGAGATACCAAAGAAAACTATAGATGTAAGATTACAAGAGTAAAAACAAAGATTTTAATTAAACAAAACTAAAATCACATGCTACCAGAGCTACAAGACTCATTGTATTTCATAACCAATATATGCTAATAATAAAATCTTTAAAAAATTACATGACTATAATTGCACATTTTAAAGATTGACATGAAAAATGTTTTCATACTTTTACTATAATACTAAAATTTCCAGTGAAATAAGTAAAGAATACAGAGTATGTAATTCAACTTCAGGGTCCTTTTGCTATTCAAGGTCAGTCAATGACAGAGAACCACACTTGTCTCTGTCCAGTAGCCTCAATTTGAGATTTTTACTTCACTCATCCAGCTCCCAGGGAAACATGAATGTGGACAGACATCTGCCACCCTCCCAACAGAACCTGGGTCACCCCCAACTTAGGAAGGCAACTATCAAGGGCAAAACTGAGATGGACAAGATAGTCAACCGTGTTTCGTCTCCACAGAACAAACAATGACTGATCTTCATTCTTCCCCACCTCTGCCTTAGGTACCCTGTGAAGGGATGATTCTCAGTTCCCAAGAGACCAAAGAGAAATCTCCAAACACCACTTTTAAGGAATGTATGCTGCCAAACAAATGTGAAAGACATTTAATAGCTCCCTTAGACTATTTAAGTCACTTTTCATGCAAAGACAAATTTGAAAAGCAACTAAATACTCTAGTCCTGAATGTTATGGGCACAGCCTTACTTACTTACTTACTTACTTTAGTTATATCATCATCAAGGATGGAGAAGTCATAAATGCTACTAAATTCTTAGGGTAGTATCATGTGCCAGAATCAATGTGCCATGTGTATTTTTTGGGTCACTGACAAACACTGCCAGACTGAAGATTTTCAATTCACTGATTCTGAAGATTTTCTTCTTGGGGGAAGACCACCCAAGGCATGAGTGCCCACTTCCTAGCTTTCACAACCCACAGACACTATTAACTACATGGTTTTATAAAATATACTTAAGAAATAGAGAGATGGTTCAGCAGTGAAGAGCACTGGCTGCTCTTCCGGAGGACCTGGGTTCAATTCCCAGCACCCACATGGCAGCTCACAACTTTCTGTAACTAGTTCCAGGGGATCTGACACCCTCACACAGACACACATGCAGGCGAAATACCAAAGGACACAAAAAGAAATCATTTGATACTATATATACTGTGAAGAGAAACACAGACGAACATCTAAACTCTGGGATTAGAAAAAGACAAGAACCCACAAGGGCCAATGGCTTTACCTGTAAAATCTGTGAGTCCAGAGAAGCCTTCATCCTCAGCGTGGCAAGCTTCCATGAGGCTACTGAAGAGAGTGCCCACGGGGTCCAGGGGGTGTCCAACCCAGCCTTCCAGATTGGTTATTGAGGTTATGCTTTTATGGGGTAGCTCTGTTTAAAAGAGGAATTGAGACATGGGGAGAAGGGAGATGAAGGGAGAGAAGTAAGGGTACTACAGACCGATTTCACAGCAGCATTCTGAAGAATTAATAATTCAGATGGATAGCCCCTTTAGTTAAAAAAAAAAAAAAATCAGTGGAATGGTACTATAATCTCCACCTTGTGAGCTGTTTTGAGTTGTAAAGGTTCACCTACCAATCAATATAAATGGTACTTAGGTCCAGGAATGGCTCCCCACATCTGTTTAACTCAAGTATCCAACATCATGTGCTAATATTCACAGTGCTGTCGTATTGTAGGAGACAGGGAATCCTGAGTTTTTTCCTAAGAAGCTAAGCATCCCGCCATCTTTGCTCCCCTGGGAGTGTCATTAGAGATGGTAAGGAAGCCTGGACTCATGAGTTGGGTCTACAACGGTGTGTTCACACTGTCAGTACGCCGGTGCACTGAGTCATCTCAACGAAGAACGAGAGCAGTGACCTCCTGGGTTTGACTCAAACCCCCACACAAGCATTGTTTAATCACCCCCATTACTTCACAGCAGCTCTCCTTTCTGTGAGAGGCATCGGGGTGGACCTTGGCCAAGGGAAAAATGCAGCACAAGGTAGATGTAGCCTTGACAAAACGTGTTTGTTCATCCTCTCCACAGAATATTAGCTCTTCCACAGCCAAGGAAAAACCTTGCAAATGTCTGACACAACTAGCCGAAGAGTTGTCCCACGAATTTATCATTTCTTCAGAAGCCTTCTGATTTTACATGATTAGCTCTTAGCACCTAAGAACCGCACACAAAAGCTTGTTCAAGTCAGGACCTAGCATCCTCAGAAAGGTCACCGTTTCCTTGGTCTCTGCCACTGGCTCTCACATGCAGAGCAAGTCTGAGGAGAGGTATACAAACAGCATTCTTTGCAACAAGAAACTCTGTTTGACTGACAAAACTGTGTGTAGACAGTCACATCAATAGGCAGGTAAGAGCCATTTAAGAACCACATTTTCCTTCAGATTCGGTTAACAAATCATGCCAGTGGGTACTAAAGATACCAGACAGCACATTTCCTAATCTTGGTCCATTTACAAGGAACTGTAATGCACACCACCTTGGCCTTGAAACCATCTACTAAACCTCAGTCTTTAATATTAGGACAAACAATAACAGCAAATCAGGGACAGGGAGAGGGACAGATGCAGATACACAGTCCTAGCAATACTCAAGAACCGCTCTCCTTTCTGTGAGAGGCATCGGGGTGGACCTTCGCCAAGGGAAAACTACAGCGCAAGGTAGGTGTAGCCTTGACAAAATGTGTTTGTTCATTCTCTCCACAGAATATTAGCTCTTCCATGGTCAAGTACTGTGGAACAAGTGTCATCACTTGGAGGATGACAGAGAAATGTGCCTGAGATGGCCCAGGTCTGGCTAGAGCGTAACTGACTCCAAGACACTCACAACAGTCTAGTCCAATAAGACCTGCAACTTACGTCAACAGTTTTACACTCTGTGTTCCTTAAGTAGAACATTTTGACAAAACAGAATTCAAAAACTAACATTCCTCAGAAAAATTTACATGGTTTCAAAAAAAAAAAAAAATCAAACATAACCATTATGAGCCAGTTCTCTACACTAAATGGAGTACTATGTATCCACTTAGCCTGAAAGATATCCTTTACACTATTCAGAAGCAAATACCCTGGGCCAGAGATGAGCTGTGTCTTTAGTGGAAGTAGATTTCAGAAAAGCTTTCTACAGGGCCCAGCAATGCATTTCGGGAGAATGAGCAAAGTCATTGTTACACTGAGGCCATTAACATTCCAGTCCCATCTACACTTCCTTTCTGTGGTTCAAACTCTAACTGTGGAATTATTTCCGCTATGACTGACAGCGTCAGTCCACACTCCTAATACTTCCAACATAGAGGGAATTACAAGTTACAGCCAACACTTGCTCCAACTTCCAACCCATTCCAACAACCTTTAGTTAGTTATTTGTACTCAAGGTGGGTAATCTGAGTACCAAAGGATTAAAAACACAACTAAGAACAAAAGCCAACAGTAACTAGAACTGTTCTTAATTAAAAAAAGGTGGGAGGCAAAAACAAGTCACCCCAAGAAATGTTTGCCTACAGAAGGAACAAAGAGTACTCGATCAGGAAAAGCAGATCCATCCCACTATCTGATCAGCAAGCTAAGAACCCAGTTAACAGCCTTTGCCATTACCATTACGGTGCTTACTCAAACTTAGAAGATTTATAAATGGAGATAAAGACAAGTTGAATGTGTCCTATCAGCCGACAGCTCATCAAACATCATTCGAGCAGAGAACTTGAAAAAACAAAACCGGGAGTGCACTTTTAGTAAACAAGTCCTCCAACACAAATGATCACGGCTCTAAAGTCACAGAATGCCAGGCCTTAAGACTTCCTGGAGATGAGCTCGTTTGCTCTCAGTGGCTCTCAGAGGCAGACCCTCTGCAGAGACCTGCTCTGCAGAAGAGTGAGCTCAGCAACCGAGAAATAGTCATGGACTAAGGAGTGCCCACCTGCAATCCACTGCTGGGATTCAAGGATGGGCAGCCATTCTAGAGTTCTCAGTGTTAGAACTAAAACACTCGTGCAGAAAAGCAGGCATTTGGCTTCCATTCCATGTTTCAGACATATCACCAACTATTCCAAAAGTAACAATCTCCTTAAAGAATTATCTAAGATTTATTTCTTTCAACATCCAGCCAAAACGATTTATATTTTATTTTTACAGATTTTATCAAATTTAATTTTTTTCACTTTATTTTTACCTCATATGTATGGGTGTTTTGGCTGTGTGGATGTCTGTGTATCAAGAGTGCATTATCAAGCCTTTTAAAGGGTGCTGAGTAAAGCCATTTCTATGGCTGTGCTTTTAAAAATCTATCTCTTCTAGCAGAACCTAAGACCAAGTTATAGCCTCACCAAGAGTCCCACTCCAACAGAGACAACCTCCTCCACAATCACCTTTTTTTTGAGTCCGGAACATTTCCAACTGTTTCTGCTGTTGCCGTCGTAATGTGTTCACAATAGCTATTGCTAATCTCAGTGCTTCTCTGGGGTACCCATGAGAACGCAACGCGTCCACTCTTGCACAGGCTGTAGGAACATGTTCTGCAACAGAAACCCAAAGGGGTAAAGTTGCCACTGTCCGATACATCCAGAAAAGCAGGCTACTGTGGTAAGATGAGTCTCCCCAAATAACATGTAAGAAGATATGGGAAACCATTTCTGAACTTGGATCTGAATGAAAATTTCAGCCCCCTCTGCCAAGCATTCATCCATCTCCCACTGAATGCCTCAATTCTCTACCTCCCACTCCAATAATGCTATAGAAACTAAACAAAGAAGTAAGTCATGGAAATGTCTTTCCGGTTTGGCCACTTACCATGCCAGAGGGGCCACCCCCGGGAGTCAAAGAGGGAGTTTTCAGTGTCGTCATGGTAACAGTAGTTGGTGTACAGGTCACTGCTGATAATGTGCTGCAAGTGGCTATCCTGCCAGTGGAGGTCACATGCCTCGATGGCTCTTGTGAACACTGTCCGATGTGGCCTGTTCGATGAATCTGTTTTTTCCACAATTCAGAAAGCCGTGTCAGCTATTATTCATATGTGAATAAATCAGTCATACCATTCTGTGACCAGATGTTCATGAACACACCCACACACACTGTCCTGCACCCCCTCAGCAGAAGGGTGAAGGGTGGATGAATAGTCTCACATCCTAAATGCTAGAAGGCCATCAGCCTAAAGAGCCTCCAGTCACTCCCTTGTTTTTACCAAACCAAACATACTGCAGCCATTAAAAGCCAAGTTAAAGGCATCCTGCAAAACGAATTGTCAAGTCTATGTGTCCACGCCAAATATACTCAAAAGAGGCACTCGGCTTTAAAAAACAAAAACTAACCATGTGAAAACTCACTGCTCCCCACTTCTGAGGTGCTGTGTTGGGCTGCCCCTGATGGGATCAGCAGCTCTCACAAACACTATGCAAGAGATGCGACACCAGCCATGGAACCTTTCAGGAAGATGCAGTCAGCCTTTAAAAATATGCATAAGGGTTGTGCTTTTGGTTGTATTTTTTAACTATATTGTGCGGTTTTGCACAATTAAAACTATTATGCTTCTTGGGATATAATGATTAAATGCCACTTTATATCCCAAAGGGCATAAATGCATATGTTTAACATTTCACAAAGCCACACAACATAGCTACAAAACAAACCAGCGCACTTACCTTGCCCCTACAGGCTGTCTCCTGACTCCTGGGCAGGTTCCATGACTGGTGTGATGTCCCCAGCATAATGTATGCCGGGGCATCACAAGAGAGCAGAGGCATAGAGTCCGAAGGGGGTTCAAGGTTCAGGACCTGACGAAGAAAAGAAATGTTTGGGGAATAAAGGATGTTCTCACCTCAGCTCCTTGGATTATTCAATTCCTAAAGAGACTACAGGCGCTCCCGCCCCACGGGCCCCGACTCTCAACTTACCTTCAACTGTGGTACAAGTATCCACTAAATGGTGGGGTAGTGAAAATTTTCATTTATGTACACTTAATTTTGATCAAGTCTAGTCCCCTTCACTGCTCTCCGAGACTCAACTAGTGAAGTAACAAACTACGGAGCATCCTCCTGTCCCTGGACCTCTGTGTGAGTACACAGAAGGCAAACCACAGAGAGCGAACACAACTGAGAGAGGAAGAAGAGCCTAGAGAGTTCATCTATCTGGTTCTCTGTCCGGCTGGCGGAGGTGAACAGCAACAGAAACACACAGCCAGGCACCGCCAAGGGTCCAACACGCCCCTTACTACAAGTTTAGCTAATGTGGCCACCTGCAATGGTGGTTGGCAAGCCTATCAAAGGTATTACTTCAGGCTGGTCTTACATCGACGCTGTTATCCATATCTAGAGGAAGACATATCGAAGTGCACAGAGAACAGATCAAGAGACATAAGTGATCATCTGCTGTGACTCTTGCAAAATTGGAAGGATGGGCCCAACTTTTAACAGCCTTTTGTCAAGCAAAACAAATGTGCTCTTCCCAGGAAGAAACCCATTTTGGGACCTCTCATAAGCAAATGTCCTAAAATTCAAGTATTCTATAGCTATTTTTAAGTGGCCTTAGCATTTAGTTTGTTTACTTCAAATTGCAGAGGTAAAACCAAAAAACTAAAGACTTCCAAATATTTGGAAGTCTTGCTATTATGCATGCTATAAAAGTGAGTTAAGGGTCCAAGTACTGCCTTGGCTCTCTGATACCAATACAAGCACATAGTGTGGTGTCCTTAGAAAAATAAACCGCACTGTTCCTGTTTCATAGCAGCACAGCTTTTAAAATTGGTTTGCTCCAAGATACCAACAAAACCGATAGTCACAAAAGGGCTAAACTCTCACAAAATTATATTTAAATGATCATGAAGGCCATATCACACGAGAAGCACAAAACTGATATACACAAATTCATAAACATTAAAAAATTAAGTGTCTATAACAACAAACTGGAAATTTGGGAGAGCCAAAAGGAAATAATTCTTCTTTTTTTTTTTTAAACACCTACAAAAAAGAAACCGGCTTTTTGCTGAAAGAGTATGATCCGGATGCTGTTCACTAGTCTAACAAATCACTCTAGCTATGGTGGGCATCAGAACTGCGTGTGCCCTCTAACATGTGTGTGTGAAACACATCTATCCACAGGCACAGTGACCTCTGTGTGATGCTGTGGCTTTTGTCCCTCAGTCTCCAGGCTCCAGAGGGGTATTCGGGTATGAGTAAACATACCCTCTGCAGGATGATAACCAGCACCCTCTCGGGGAATGGCTCTTATCACAACCCCTCAGAAAGGGCTGTGAGTGTTCTGGTAAAAGCAGACACCCTGGTGCCTTTCGGCACAATAGCTTCCAAGTACTGCCTTTGGAATACAGACCAGGATTTACACTGCCTAGACCAAACTGTAAGTAAAATGAACTGTGGTGTCCTGGAAGCCAGATCACTTCTTTAAATGGTGTTTTGCCTCCTTGTGTATCTATGCCCATAGAGGCCAGATAGGGCATTCATTAGATGCCCTGGAACTGGAGTTCCAGATGGTTGTAAGCTGCTATGCAAGTGCTGGGAACTGAGCCCTGGTTCTCTGCGAAAGCAGTGAGTGCTCTTGAATACTGAGCAATGTCTCCAGACCCATCCCAGTTTCCAAAGCCTATAGAATTTTCATATTAAACCCAAAGTAACTTTATAAAGAGAAAGTAAAATGCAAAGTGTAGTACATCAAAGTAGCAGTCCCCTCAAAATAGCAGCAACCAAAACTCAAAACCCAGAAAAACCTCCAATTATAGAAACAAAAGATTAAAGGTCACCTATGGAGACATCAAAGAACCTTTCCCTAGCAATGAGAAGAATGAACGTTGACCGATTAAACCCGACAACTTGGAAAAAAATGGAGATCTGAGGGGTACATTTAATTATTAAATAACATCACCATGAGCATGATATAGACAGGGTAGACTTCAAATACTGAATTCCCAAGGTAAGCATCTCCAGTTAAAATAGAGCCTGCCAATCATCCTTCTAGGCCCTGAAACCTCTTTTGATTGGACTAGTCCCTGTGGACTTTCTTTGTAAAGACGGAGACCCTGTTAACAACACATTGGAACTCTGCACACTGCATAGCATCTCTTTCAGGAATACCAGCTCCTCTGTGGCCAGCAAAGGATGTATGATTCTTGGGCCTTCCAATGTTGATTCCAATCTTACTTCTATCATATGATTTAAATCACTTTCAAGTCCCCCAGCAAACAAAGTCATGCATGAATACTGGTATGAGTTAGTGAATGATAGCAGATTTGTCCAAGACTTTAACAAGTTAAAAATGTGTTTCTGAAAAAGACCAGAAAATTCGGCAATGTCTCAGAGAAGAAAGTCAAGCTAAGGGGCAGTTTGTTTTTAAAAGATGGAAGAGAAACTGAAATAACAGGATAAAATAATAGATTATTCTGCAAGATCTGGGAGCATTTCTTGGTCTTCTCAGAGACTGAAGGGCACTATTTACCTACTATCAATGGGACAGAAAGACTATCCAATCTTTCACAGTAAGAAATTGCCCTGATGTAAGTGCCAACAGTATCACTGGCCCCTCAGTTCCACATCTCCTTGCTCTATATTCTAAATCTAGGAAACTTTTAATTAAATATACAATAGCCCAAGTATGAATTGGCCAACAAAGCCAGAGATCCTCAAGTCTCTCAACACTGTTTTACACAGTAATATATTACTGCCCTACTCTATATTTTTAATTAAAAAGTAAAATTCAAACTATTAGGAGATCATTTTAATCCACATCAGTACATATCATATCCATCTGCAATGTGCATAAAAAATAATGTTCTCACTTAAAATAGATGCACACATTCAAAGTAAACATGTATTGTCCTTGAATTAAGTAAATCCCCACATTCATTATCTGTTACCATTACAAACATGTACGAAGAAGCAGATGAGAATGGGCAGGATGCCATCGTGGACTCACCTTGGTTGGCATTTGCACCTTGAGGCAGGGCATTGGTTAGGTTGGGTAATTCACTGCCATGATTTCCATCCTCCCATGGACAGACATCAACACTGTTCCATTTCTTCAGCTGTTTTAGCCAGCTGGCCTTCTGCTCCAACTTACAGTGGGGGTTTAAGACTATACACATCCACAGAGCACCTAATTTGTAAAGAGGACAAAGACATTTCAAAATATTACAAAAAAGGTTCAAGGCTAAGAGTTTAAAAAAAATTTGGAATCACTTCAGGATGGACAAAAGTCTGTCAGTTCTAATTTAAGACAACGTATAGCCTAATGTTAAACCAAAGACCTAAGTGCTGTTACACATGAAGATGAGATGTATTTTACATGTTCTAACTGTAAGTACCTTCTTATTTGTATTATACTTTATATATAAAAGTCAATAATATAAACAATCCCAGGGTTCAATTTCAACACAGAGTGTACACATTAGCCTTTTAATACATGATTCCAAATCATTCCCCAAATTAAATTTATTTTCAAAGATTATCTTTGTGTAATAAAATTATACAAAGAATTTATAAGAATAAAATTATACTATGAACATGTTTCCTAGTCTCCTTACACGATTTTCAAACATTGTTTATTCGTATCCACAATTATGTGTGGATGTGTACACACATTCTCATGCATACACACACAAACACATATGTAAATGGAGTAAAATCATTTAGGCTTTGAAGTCAGCAAAATAAATCTTTTACAAATAAAACTCAAAGCCAGGCACACTGACACACAGCTGTCATTTGGGAGGCGAAGGCACGAGAGTCACAAGTCTGAGGAAGCCTGTGGTATACAGTGAGTTCCAGAGCAGTCAACTACCATCTCAGATTCAACCAAACCAAACCAAACTACAATCAGTTACATTAAGCACACTTTCCTAAGCAATTCAACAGGTACCAGTCTTCATGTAATCACTAAATGCTAAGATACCTATTAATAAGCATTTCTCTAAGTGTTTCAAAAGTAAAAATGAATGTAAGGGAAAGGAATAACTCATAATTTAAATAATAGGATAATGGTGAATTTATTATGCTTTCTGCATAGTTCAAAAGAGTAGTTAACACAAATATTTCACAAATTTTGCAGTATTAATTTCTAAATAAGATAATACCAATACCCCAGAGCATTCACAATATGTTTTCTCTAGGAAGGCATGCACAAACATCTGTGCTCTGATGGTTCCTGTCAGCTGGGTAAAAGAAATAGAATGAAAGAGATGAATACTATTTTCTTTGACCAAAAGTACTGGTTAGCTGTCTTTCCTATTTAGTGCCCCTAATACTATAAATATAAAATAATTTAAATTAAACACACCAAGTTTGTAAAAAAAATACCTTCAACTTGTCTAAGCCACAGATATTAACAATCTATATTTTAAAATTTTCAAATGCCATTTAAAAACAAAACAGTCAGCCAAGATGGAATAAGCTCACCAAAGTGTCTCTTTCTCTCAATGATTACAATTAATAACTCTGGACAAAATAAAAAGCAGTAACCCAAGGAGACTCTGAGAAATAACCATCAGCGAGCTGGCCAAAGAGAAGAAGTAAGGCAGTAAGTGAGCCATATGGCTGTTTTTTGTTTTTTTTTCTTTTTTTCTTTTTTTTTTTTTATCGCTCCCTGCCCCATTTCCTCTGGATTTGAATACGATAAGTAACTTCACTCAAGGAACTATGAAGGGACACATGCATGAAAAAATGGAAACTTGCTTTTCCCCCAGTGCATACTGGAAAAGGAGAGCACCGAGATTGGAGCTGCTGAGGAGAGAGAGCCAAGTCCTCAGCACAGCATGCACGAGACAGAAGCAAGGCAGAACCAGCCAAGGCTCTGACCACTGACACTGGAGTCCTCATCCAAAGGTGGTGTGATGAGTTATGGTCCCGTCACCTTCGTCAGTTGCTTGTTTTAATTTTTTCACCCTCTAGGGAATTTTCATAGAACCCTGACTCTTATAATATCCAAACTGTCCAGAATCTAAAATCTTGGCTAACAAAGAAACAGGAAAAAGTGTCAACTCTCAAAAGATGTCAAGTCAGATGAGCAAGATGTTAGAATGAGAGACTTGATAGTCCCAGTAATTGTGCTCTGTGAGACGAAGGTAAAAGTAATTAAGAGGGAAAAAAAACTAACATCATCCCCAGTAATGAAATGAAAACTGTAAAAAAGAACTAAACAGAAACTTTAGAAGTGGAAAAGCAGTATGTTAAATAAAGTTATCGAATGGGACCAAAAGCTGAATGGTGACAGGGCAAAGAGTGAACTTAAGGAGAGGAACTACCTCATGGGACAAACAGAACACCTAGATGGTGTTAAACAGAATCTTAAAGACAGGAGGGCAAAGAGCAAAATGTTTCTTAGCATTTGTGTCACTGGATTCCAAGATGAGAAGTAGAAAACTTTGAAAGAAATAATTACTAAAAACTTTTCAGATTTGCAGAATGGTATTAATTTACAAGCCTAAAGAAGTTTAGTCACCCTCAAAAATAGGGTCAGCTCAAAGAAAACCATGACCAACCGCAGCATAAGCAAGCTGCTGAAAGCTGAATAAAAACCAACCAAACAACAAAATGAAGCCAAAGAAAATACAAAGCACCTATAGAATAATGGTTCAAATAACTACTGATTTCTCACCCAGGACAGAATACAATGAATGATACTGGCTGAGTGTTAAAAAGGGATTGGAAAGCCAATCTGGAAGTCTATGAGCAGTGACAAAATCACCCAGGAAATATGGTGAAATACAGGCATTCTCAGAATAAGAAAAACATAACAGCATGCAATGCTAAAAGATCTGTTTTAGAAAAATGCTAAAGCTAAGTTTTCCTGATTAAAAAGACATAACAACAAAAAGAAAGTTGACAATCTGTAAATAAAGGGAGAATAACAGAGATGATGTCTGAGGAAATAGGTTATTTTTGCTCTTTGGAAATATGTATGAATGTTCAAAACAAAAATTCAAACACTGTCTTATAAATTTTTAAATGAATAAAATATATTTTAATACCTATAGCAAAGAGGGAGATAAAGATATCTATGATTATTAGACATTTAGTATGGCAAAAGTAGTTAATTCAATATTAGGTGTAGGCATATTTTGCTATAATGCCACTTGAAATAAACACAAAATAAAAAGGATAACCAAAGTCAAATTTAACAACAATTCAATTAAGAGAAAGTTAATGAAAACAAGTCAGTACAGAGAGAACAGAAACAAAAGGAATAAAAAGAAATATATTCAATTATACCAATAATTTCATGAGACACAAGTGGTCTAGAGCAGGAGATGCAACTCGGTGCTTGCCTCACATGCACAAGGCCATGGGTTCAACTCAGCATTGGCAATTATACGTGTGTGTGTGCGCGCGCGCGCGCTCATGTGCAGAATGTACCTATGTTCTAAACATACCAATTAAAAGGGGAAATCAGCCGGGTGGTGGTGGCGCCCTCCTTTAATCCCAGGTAAGAGGCAGAGGCAGGTGGATCTCTATGAGTTTGAGGCCAGGCTGGGCTACAGAGTGAGTTCCAGGAAAGGCTCCAAAGCTACACAGAGAAATCCTGTTTCAAAAAACCAAAAAAATAACCCGGTGGTGGTGGTGGGGGAATCAAGTCAGATTAAAAGCTAAGGAAACAATTTTATGCTGTACATGACATGTAACAGTAAATGTAAAAGGATTAGGAAGACCATGAAGACGCTATGGAAAAAAAGCTGGAACTTCACTATAAATGTGAGGAGAAGTATGGAGTCAGACATTACAATGGTGATAAACGTTCTCTCCAAAAATACAATTCTGAGCTGTACCTAACAAGGCTTTACACACAAGTAACAAGAGACAGAGCTGGAAGGAAAAACCAGCAAAGTTTCAGCTTCTTAGTAGACTTCAACACTTCTCTCTATATAAGTGATAGACATGTACACAGAAAATTAGCAAACACCCCAACAACACTATCAACTGAGGAAAACAAATAAAAATGGACCACATACCTAAACAGCAAACTTAAGACCAAAAAGCTCTCAGCAAATTATCTTGAGTTAGATAAAAATATGAATGAGGGTAATAAAAGCATGATCTGTGAAATAAAAAGAGGTAAAATTGGCTTCCTCCAAGTGGAAGACCTCGCACTACACAGACAAGAGAACGAGAAGTCACAGACGGGGGGCAGGGAGGGGGAGGCATCCTCAAGCCACGGGTGTAACAATGAACAATAATTCAAGTTATGTAAAGCCTTCTCAGAGTCACAAAGAAAACTGTACAAACCAACAAAATGAGCAAAACAAAGAAGTGGGCTGTAAGAGCCGTGCAGGAAATTAAGTAAACACTGAGCAATACAAGCCAATATGAAGAGGCTCCAGTGTGTGTGTGTGTGTGTGTGTGTGTGTGTGTGTGTGTGTGTGTGTGTGTGTGTGTGTGTGCGCGCGTGCGCGCGCACATAAAATTTGCAAAAGGCAAACTAATGGAGATGAGGGAGGGTTATCAGTGGTTGCCCCAGGAATTAGGGGAAAGAAAGCCATGGAAATGGGAAGAGGACAGAGAACGTTTAAGATGGTGAAACTCCTCAGAGTATGACTCTGTAAAGGCAGGCATATGCCACGAAGCATTCATCCAAACCTATGAAACATGCAGCACTAAGCACCAACTCTCCTGAAATACCATAATACCATAAGCTTTGAGTAAAAATGTGTCAATGTAAGCTGATGGGTTGAACAACTGGTGTGGAGGGTACCGGTAGGGGGTGGGGACTGGTGGTGGATAGGAAACTTCCATTCAAACAGTCTGTAAAGCTAAACTCTATCTTCTCAAATAGCATTTTTAGAAAAGTGTAGAAAGACGTTTCACAAAAGAAGAAATGAAGACTGGGTAATCTGCAAGGAAAAAAAAACATGCTCAACATTACTAATGACTAGAAAAAACTAAGTTAAATCACAGGAGATTCTCCTACTGTGATGGCTACCGTTAAGAAAAAAGCTTTTGGTTGTAAGCCTAGGCTTTAATGGCTGAGCCATCTAATCCCAGCACCTGGGAGGCAGAGGCAGGTGGATCTCTGTGAGTTCCAGGCCAGTGTGGTCTACAGAGCGAGATCCAGGACAGCCAAGGATATGCAAAGAAATCTTGTCTCGAAGAAACCAAACCAAACCA